TGTCAGCCACTGCTTGCAGAATCCACGACCACCCCACACCAGTTAATAATCTTCCCTCGCAGTAGCATAGTCCCACGAAGAACTGACAGAGAGGAACCATTTTTGCTGCCACCTTTTATAGAATCCACGACGAGCCTAAGCCAGTTCGGAACATTTCCTTGCCTAGGCCCGCAAAACCCCAAAGCAGCGATGAACCATTGGTTCACCCACCGGTTGCTGCCTCCACTACCATCCTAGAAGCCAGTACTGCCCACAACAGGATTTTTGCTGCCACCTTTTACAGAATCCACGACAATCCGAAGCCAGTTCCGAACATTTCCTTGCATGGTCCCGCAAAACCACACGGCAGCGATGAACCATTGGTTCACCCACCGGTTGCTGCCTCCACTAGGATGGCACCGGGTACTTATGGACTTATAAGTTGAGTTATAGTGGACTTAAGTATAAGTATTTTTGATGGATTTACAATCTACTTATAAGTCCAGCCTAAGTTGGTTAAGTATTTCTAAGTGTTTTGAGGGTCAATTCAGTATATTTATGTTGTTTTGTTTTTTTTAAGATTTGATAGCATTTTCAGAGTGATCGCTGCCATTTTTTTCACCACAGCATGCATACAGTGCCGTCATCGTGGCTTCGAAAGTATTGTGGTGAAACACTTTTGTCAAGACACTGCGCGTTCGCAACTACAGGAGCGTCCGTCACATACTTCCAAGTTGTAACAGCAGCTGGCTTTCGGCTAGCGTTTGTTGGCACCAGCTGTTGCAGATGCATGTCAACTTTGTTCCCCTGCCATCGAAAGAATTGGATGCAATAAGTACTGCCATCTGCGAGCCGGACAACTTGTTTTCGGCTATAGGTGACACACTTATATTCAACTTCCAACCAATCTGTGACATGGGAAGGTGCCGGAACTGGGCTAGGGGCATGGCTCCCCATGAGTCGAAGGAACATCTTCTCCATGGGCAAAGCATTGTTCAAGTCTTGTGTGACCAAGTCAAGCAAGACTCCCTTCGAGAAAGCCGGTGAGTTGCTCCAGTTCGACGCTGCTCGTGCTTTGTACGCTTTGTTCTTGCGCTCGCACGGAAAACAGTCCACGTGGCGACCAAATTTAGCAATTTGCGCCGTCGTGTGCAGAGCATAGTGGAACTTTGGTCGCATGCATGTATCTGTGTAAGCTTCAGCGAAGCATTTCATTTGCCTCTGCTGTTTTGCTAACAAAGTCGAGGCAGCGCTTGGATTTCGCTTTGCATCAGCTAAGACCGAGATCACACCATACAAAGCCGTCAAAGAACGTACGGCTGCTTGCATTGCTTCATGTTCGGCAAGCATTTCCTCAGAAAAGCCTAGGCAAAGCAAGAGAACCAAGGCTGTTGCCGCACATTCTCCGCGAAAGTCTCCGTCGTCTCGCCAGAGTTTCTCATCAAAAAAAACTGCGGCGCCACTTGCTTTGCAGCCGGGGAATTGGGGCAGCGACTCCACATGGCAGCATATGTTGCCAGCTGTGCAAGAGTCACACCCGCATGTTCTTGCACGTGTCCCCACCAGCAACCCAGCTCTTGGCCGATGATGCCGTTGCTGAAGTAAGCATGCATAGTGTCAAAGTGAACTGTTTCCACTGACACCCATGAGTCCAAGGCTGGCGCCATCAGGGGGCCAGCTAACAACCCAGCGGCATTCCAACCCAATAATTTCTCCAGCTCCTGTTTCTTGCCTTTTCTTTCTTCTTCTCTCAACCGGTCGGCTGCAGCACGCACTGACCCAGTGGATGCCGGCCAAAATTTCTCTATGGCGGTGCAGGTGATGTCGTAGTGGTCATGGACTGCGTCGGCTTTGTTTACTGACAAACAGTTCAAGCATTTAATGCAGCATTTGAGTCCGGAGGCACCCTTGGTGCCAGTGCATGCCCGAATTGCCTCGTGATCCATCAAGAGAATAACGGAATCTATGAAGCACAGGACAGGCTCTCCTGATGACCCAAGATCGACTACGAAGCCATTCTCCGTTTCAGAGCGTATCTGCAACAGCATGGCTCGTGTCAATGCCGCCATTCCTCCCTCCACCTGTCCTATTTGTCTGGAGCGCATGACACCCATGGTGAGCCAGAGGTCCTCGACAAACATCACTTCGAATTCCAGCCACATAACATAGGTCAGGTTGCTTTTTCTCGAGTGGTTTGGACTCAAGATGTTTCCGCCAGACACCTCATCCTGATAAAAAATCAGGTTGAGATGATTGCCATTTCTTTGCAAAGCTCTTTGCATCAAAAGACGATACAAAGGGCAAGCGTCTATCTTTGCCTGCACCAGGCCTGGCAAACTCATGGACCACGCCGTCACAACGCAGCCCGTGTCCGCATCCCGCAGTGGCAATTCCCGCGGGAGAGGAAAAGCGATTGGATGCTTCGTTCTAGGACGGACAGACGTTCTACCACCTCTGTCGTCCTCTCGAACCAGCTGCACTACTTGTCTGCATTCCGCGGCTGTTAGGGATCCGATCTGTCGTACAGATCGATACTGCTCTAACAAGGAATCATCAGCTCGCAATCTCCTTCTTTTCATGTCGACTTAAGCAGCAAACGCATTGCGTCTCCCCATAGCGGCAAACAATTTGGCTACTGGCATGCGATGGAATGGACTGTTTTTGCACCAAATAACTATATGCATTTTGGATCCATGGCTTGTTTTTTTTTACTACCTGAACTGATATATACACACATGAAACGTATGCGTGACTTGTCTACAGCACATTTTTATATACGACATGTCGACATATCTGCAAACTGACGATCCCTCTTTATGGTTTTGCCCTTGAACGGTTCGATTTCAATCCCCAAGGCAAGCAGTGCACATGCATGGGCATCCTCAAGTGCATTCAAGTTGCAAGAGGCAGTGATTCTAGAGGAAGAACGAAAATAATATATATAATATATATACATATATATATATATTATAATATATATATATACATATTATAATATATATGTACATACATATATATATATACAGATATTAATATACATATATATATGTATGTATTTATATATATATAGAGAGATTAGCAGATAGACAGACAGACAGACAGACAAACAAACAGATAGACAGAAAGACAGAGAGATAAATAGATTCACATCGGCACGAATCAGATAGATAGATCGATAGATAGAGACAGATAGATCGACATGGAGAAACCAATCATGTGTCCCTATATATATGGATGTATTACGAAGAAAGGATATATAGACGTTTGCAGACAAATAATGAGCGATAAAGCCGTGCATTTGTGTATCTGCGGCTATTTGTGCGTAGACTATACTTGTCTGATATATATGCCGACAATGCCTGTGTTGCAGGCACACAACTCCACAAGCATGCAGACAACAAAACGATACTCAGAGGTTCCTGCACGCCAATGTGCACCCGAAATCACTTTTAGCCTTCTGCGTGTCCCCTGCAGTCGGTCAGCATTATGTGTGAAAGACCTTCGTTTTCAAACGCTCATCAGGAGCAAAACGAGAAGTCCGTTTGCAAATTGCAAGCCGCTCGTCGAATCAGAGCAGTTCTGTCACTGAGGGTTTTTTCCTCGCACACGGCGCCCCCCCGGCGGCGCAGCGGCTCCTTCAACAGCGGCGGCCTCTCCAACCTCAGCTTGCTTGCGCTTGGATCCGGCCTTCGCTTTCGCTTTGGGGACTGGCAAAAGAGTCCGCAAATTCGCCATCACTTCGCCCACCGTCTTGTGCAGACACTTGACATCGGCCATATCAAAGGCTGGCGGTGTCAAAGCGTGCTTACCCTTTTGGGCTGCCTCCTCTTCCCAGTCTTTCAACAGTCCTTTGGCACCATGCAGCCAACGCTGCAATTTCTCCACCGTTTGGTCGTAAACTCCTTGGACAGCTTCTGGCAAGTCTTCCGGCACACGAGCACGTAGCTTCGTGACAGCCTGAAGGTCCAAAGACAAAGGTGCTACGGCCTTAGCAGCCAGCAGCTGCACCTTCTGATTGCTCGTGATGTTCTTCTCTTGCACTGCTTCGGCCTTCGCCGCTTTCTTCTCAGCAGCCGCCGCAGACGCCGGGCCGTTCTGCCTTGGCTCTGCCGCTGGCAAGTCCAAAGAAAGCTCTGGCTCTGCAGCAGCGGAACCACGTCCCTTAGCCGTGCGCTTAGCGGTTGCCTCTCGCTCCTGACGGAGAATCCTCTCCTCACATGCTTGGTACGTTTGTTTCCACGTCATCGACTTGATGGGCACCTGATACGTATCGCACTGGTACTGTTCGTTGTACTCTTTGGGGCAATTCCGCACAGTCTTCTCAGGCCAGCCCTGTTGCACCCAAACGTCAAGGGGCAAAAACTTGGCATCCACACTTGCAGAATTTTCTGTCATCTGCCGAGTGCACAAACTCGTCAACAGAGCCGCTCTCACAGTGCGCCATTGGATTCTGGATTCCTTCATGTCCTCTTTCTCCTTGTGCAGTTTCTGAAAAAACTGCTCCTGTTCTTGGCTGCTCAAAGATTGCAACTCCTCCTTGCTGCCCAGACCCCGCCGGATAAGTCTATCGGCCGATGCACAGGGCGTGCACTGGAACTTCTGACCGTGCAGCCTCCCGGCGTCGACCGCGTAGGTCAGATTGCAGAGGCTGCAGCGGTAGGTCACCTGCTGCTCAGCTTCCACCGACGCCATGGCAAGACGCAAAGGAACAGGATGGATAGACACGAAGTGGTCCGCCAAACACTGAGAACTACTACAGGGCTCGAACCGGAAAAGCTGCGGAAAAGGTAGCTTACTCCCTGTCGTCCGCGGACAACAGATTCCATCGTTTTCTCCGCGGACAACCTGACAAATCTAGGGTTTCATAGCTTTTTTTTCTATGTTTAAATTGCTTTAGCTCGCGGACATCGCGGACATGGCCTAACTCCGTTGGTGCCGCGGACAACCGCGGATCTGCGCGGACGAGTCGCGGACAACACATTTTCTCGCCAGGAACATTGCAATTTCCTCCGGGTCTCATCCTACGTGCCTTGCGGGTGCAAAGCTTCACAATCAGCCAGCAAAAGAAGAACCTGCGTTTCCGCCGCGTAGGCCCAGCTCGCTTCCGGGAGAAGCATGAGATATTCTTGCAATCGTTTCAAATCAGCTGCCACGGTGCGGAATTCTTCCATATGGTAGCCGGTCAAGCAGTGCTTGAACCTCGACCAGTCATCCGTCCAATCCGACACCGCGCAGAGGATCGTTTTCTCCAGGTTCGGATCCGCCGAAACCATCTCCCAGGTCGGGGAAAGGCACGTCTGAATCAAACGATTCAGACGACAGCACTGCTTGGCAGCGTCTGTGTCTGCGGCCTCGTAGGCTCTAGACTCTGCTTGGTCCAAAGTCTCACTTACCTTCACCCAGCAGGTTTCCCATGTCGACCACCAGCCGGGCTGGCTTGACGACGCTGCTTGCAGCGCGGCACGGAAAGCGTCCAGGTTTTCTTTTGATATATTAAAAGAGCAAGGCGTCGGCATGAAGGTAAATTCTCGAATATATGAAAACGAAGCAGCCCTTGAACCATCATTGCAACAGACCATGATGTCATGACATTAATAAGTTTCAAACCAGCCAACAATACGGCAGAGCCCAGTTAATTTAGAGTACCCAAAGAGGGGCGCAGTGAGGGCGACAGAACGCACCTTCTTTTTTCCACAAACGGTTCGGCGCGCGTCCTGTCTTCGACTCCTACGCATACGTCACCATCCTATGTTGATGGTAACTTGCCGGCCGCTGCCGCTGCTTCTATTTTTGGCCTTCTTGGACTTACCAACAGGCTTCTCCGGTTCCGGTGGATCCGACCCTGTGTCTCCGCCGCTTGGGCTCGGAGGATCCAGCGGCAATGCTTTGGGCAAGGACGGCTTCGCCTTGCGAACGCGGCTTGCCTGGGACCTCGTAGGTGCCACCGCTGCAGCCTCAGCGTCTCGCTGATCTTGCTTCGCCCTCTGCGCGCATATAACCTTCGCCTGTTGCAACGTGTTCTCCCACATTGCCTGCGTCCGGTTACCTTCCGGTAGTTTTTGCCACAGCTGGCAACGGATGCAGTACAGATTCAGGTACATGTGGAACTTTTGTCCACTTTCTTGGGCGGTGAGCTTTTTCCCACAGTGTGGGCACTTCACTTTTGGTGCAACTGTTCCCGCATCTGTTTCCGCACGCCTTGCTGGCCGCAAGTCCACAGCGGCTCCTTCCGGCGGCTTGCCAGGAGGTGACACCGGGCGCTTGCTTCCTTTGTCCTCTGGCTCGGCCTCCTTGCGCCGTGCCTTCCGTTCCGTGTCCCTGCCTGACCGACCGTCAGAATGCCGCTTGCGTTTCCCGTGGGAACGAGACCTGCGGCGTCGGTCTCGCCCACGTGAGGCAGACCGACCCCGGCGGCGACCCCTTGCGTGGGACCGACGTCTATCCTTCTCAATTAACGGACTTGGTTTTGCACGTTTGGGTTCTTCTTCGTCCTTCTGTAGACTTTTCTTCTCGGTCGTCCGTTCCGCTGCCTCTTCCACTGACTCCGAGTCACTGGAGTCGCTCTCCGGAGACATGCGTACCTGCAAGCGTGAGACAACATGTATGTAGAACGGAACAAGGGCAACAGTGGGAAATGCAATATATACATGTTGCTAATTCAACTATGCAGAAACTCATATTATAACTGTGTATGAACCGAGCCAAGATCAACAGCTTCTGGGTGTTGCCATCCGACAACGCCGCGGCGGCGAAGCACGATGATGACACCCCGTAGGTGACATCTCTATAGGTCCACGTAAGACCCACGGGTGAGAAGATCCACGTAGGATCCCTCGTTGACCTCTCGTAGAGACCAATATAACGTGGGTCCGCGTAGGAACCACAGCGAGGAACCACGTAGGATCCTTTTGTTTGACACCCCGTGGATCCGCGTAGGAGCCACTGCGAAGAACCACAGAAGTTCTTTGTTCGTGACCTCCCGTAGAGATCAGTGCACCGTGGGTCCTCGTAGGAACCACCACGAAGATCCGCGTAGGATCTTCACCTGTATTGACCTCCCGTAGAGATCAATGCACCATGGGTCCACGTAAGACCCACATACAGATCCACGTAGGATCTTTTCCCGAATCTCCCGTAGAGATCCCAGGCAGCGCATCGTCCTCGTAGAAAGATGCGCTGCCGCATTACACCCTCCCACTCCACGTCGAAGCGAAAGTCGGAAGATGCAATATACAATTGCATGATATTATATAACATATATGCATAGAATTAAAAAAAGGCTCCAATCTCTGACGTGAGCCAGGGTTCTAGCATGCGGAAATGACAAGGTCTCCCCACGTAGCCCGCCTCACCAAAGAGCGGAGAGCGCGCGCCGCAGACACGCCGTTTGAGCCTTACCCTGCAAACAAACAAGTCTAACAACTCATGACGCAAGGCAAAGTTCCAAGTAAGATGGTGAGAATGCATGAACAGTCTTGAGTGATCCCCTGTGTGACCCATGCCTCCAAACCCCAACAGCGTGACTTATCCATATGGTCCGAACAGAGTATACCATCTATAGAAGTTCAAACTTTATGTTGTCCGACGAAATAAAAACCGCAGAAGGCAAGAGCTCAGCATGCACTCTTTGCGCCAATGGCAACGATCGATTCCACTTCCGGGGCATGAAGATATATATATATATATCCGTCACAATATAGTACTGCAGCTCTCACTCGAAAAGAAATCCCCGCAGACGCCAACAGCTCAGCGTGCACTCCTTGCGCCAACGCCAACGGCCACAGCCATCCTTGTACTTGCGGCGAATCTTCGGCGGCAACGTTGCTAACAGCCGCATTCGCTTAGCAGCTTTCTTTTCCTTCTGGTCCGTCTTCTTTGTTGGCTTCTTCACTCTGCTGGATGCAGCCACCTTCTTTGCAGCTGCCTTGCCATCAGCAGCCTTGCGCAACTTCTCAGACACTTTGGAAGCAGGTTTCTTCAGAACCTCATAGGACGACTTCTTTTCCCTTTGCAACCCATCTTCTTTCATCTTTGCTTGGAAACACGACGCAGGCTTCTTCAAAGCCTTCTGTCCTGTCCCTTTGACCTGGCTGGCCACAGCGCCTTTCAAAGCGGCCAAAGAAGCCGCCACATTTGCAGCACCGCCGTCAGAGCGTGTCTTCGAAGGAAAGGGAACCGATGGCTCAGACATCTCTGCACACGGCGCGGCTGCGGGAACATCCTCCACTGGACCATCCTCCAACGCCAGCAATACCTTCGGAGGCTTCTCCGCAGGCGTCGCCGGAGCTGCCGCTGAAGAATGCGTCCGCTGTCCCACGTGTGATCCAGCAGCCATCATTCCAGCAGCCATTTGACCAACAGCGTAAAAATCCACAGCATTCGAAGCAGCTGGCTTCGAAGTAGAGGCAGCAACACGATGCGAGTTCCGAATGGGCCATGTGCGGCCACGAACAACCAGATCCGCCGCAGACTGCAAAGCGATCGGTTGCTGACCATTCGGAAATGCTGCTTGGAACAGCGCCCCTGGACACTGCTCCAAATCAGTAGGCAAGACATCCAAGTACACCGAAGGCTCCGGCTTAGTCAGCAGTTTCTGCACGGTTGCCTTGTGCATTACCGTGTATTGCCACTTGTCCGCTTCGAAAGCGACTCCATGAAAATCAAATGCCAGTGCAAGGATCAAACCACACGTCTTCTCAGTCGGATGACGAAGACCCAACTTCACGAGATGACGACACAAATGTTCCAAAACTTCGGCACGGTTTCGATCCGATTCAAGGCGCGCCACCAACCAAGCAGGCAGATAATGCACCGCCGCCAGGAAATCCTGATTAGATCTACGGCTATTGGCCTCATCCTTGCCTCTGCGAGCAGCTATGTCTTGCTTCAGCTGCTCTGCGCACGCGCCCCACAGTTCCGTCTCGACTGCAGACAAAAGCCGCCCTGCAGCCTCCGTAGTCAACGAGTCCACTTTGGCAACGACACGGCTCAAATCGCCATGTTGCTTGATCAAGATCTCACGGTAGTTTGGAAGAGTTCTCACACCAACCAAAAAGTTCTGAGCCGCTTTCAATTGCCGCTCCAGCTGCAACGCCATGTTGACAGACCTAAACCCTGGAAATGCCAGACGGATTTGACTCCAACAAATGGCCGCAGACCAAAAATCATCTAGTCTCTAAACCAGATTTCTTCCAAATTCATGCCGAAAAATTCCAAAAGAGCTTCGAGGCAAAAAAAATTGCCAAATTCATCATCTTTTACAAACTACCTAAGTCCAACCTAAGTAAATGTTAAGTTCGTGCCTCTGCAAAGGCTACATACTTAGTAACCAGCTAAGTCCACCCCAAGTCCCTATAAAAAAAATCCTACTTAAGATCTACTTAGCCAATTAACCAACTTATAAGTCAACTTATAAGTTATCTTACGCTACTTATAACCTAGTTATAAGTCCTTAAGTGCCTGGCGACATCCTAGCACTACCATCCTAGAAGCCAGTACTGCCCACAACAGGCAATCCAGACCGACACAACCGACGACACAGGGGAACCATTGTGTTAGCCCAGTTAATAAATGTGAATAATCTTACCCAACCCCGTCCCGCGAATCCACGGGGCCGCACTGAGCGAGACGAACCATTTTTTCAGCCACCGGTTGCAGAATCCACTACCATCCCAAGCCAGTTTAAAATCTTCCAAATGACGGAGAGCAACCATTTTGTCAGCCACCGATTGCAGAATCCACTACCACCTCAAGCCAGTTCACATGAGAAGAAAACCATTTTTTTAGCCCAGGTAATGCATGTTAATAATCTCACCCAACCCCGTCCCGCGAATCCACGGGGCCGAAATGAGACCCAGGAACCATTTTTTCAGCCACCGGTTGCAGAATCCACTACCATCCCAAGCCAGTTTAAAATGACGGAGAGCAACCATTTTGTCAGCCACCGATTGCAGAATCCACTACCACCTCAAGCCAGTTCACATGAGAAGAAAACCATTTTTTTAGCCCAGGTAATACCTGTTAATAATCTCACCCAACCCCGTCCCGCGAATCCACGGGGCCGAAATGAGACCAATCCCCCATTATGAAACCCATTTTTTTTTTTTTTTTTTTTTTTTTTCAGCCCCAGCCGGTTTTTTTTTTTTGCTGCAGAAGCCACTACCATCCCAAGCCAGTTTCAGTTTATCTTCCAAATGACGGAGAGCAACCATTTTGTCAGCCACCGATTGCAGAATCCACTACCACCTCAAGCCAGTTCACATGAGAAGAAAACCATTTTTTTAGCCCAGGTAATACCTGTTAATAATCTCACCCAACCCCGTCCCGCGAATCCACGGGGCCGAAATGAGACCCATGAACCATTTTTCAGCCACCGGTTGCAGAATCCACTACCATCCCAAGCTAGTTTAAAATCTTCCAAGTGACGGAGAGCAACCAGCATATCATATCGTAGGACAGTCCGTTTGGCTAGTGTACTCCGAAAGCATTCGCAGACCTGTCATATCCCAAATAGCCAGGCGGTGTATTTGGTGCTTCAAAGCTCGTTCGGACAACCGATGGACGTGCGCGGCGTGCAGCGGGAACAGCCAGACTGGGGGCCCAAAGAAAAGGCTTCGCAGAAGTTAGTCGCCCATGCATCCGACGCAAGCCACAAGACAGCGGCCAGAGCAGCGCTCAGCGCACAGGGCAAAGCAGGGGCCAGAGCAGCGCTCAAGCCCGCACAGCGGCAACCATCACCCGTTGTCCGTCGCAGGCAGAAAACAAAAGCGCTCAGTGCGTGGTCTCACATCCATGTCGAACTTAGCGCAAATGACCGCCACCGTGCGCACCTCACACCACGCCAGGTCTACCACGAGATCTAGCTGAGTCGGTGGGGGCCCGAACAACCCCTCCCTGTGCAAGACGGGGACCGGGACTTGGGGATAGCATCCTCCCCAGTGGAGGGGGCTGACTGCCCTGGCTAGCGCAACGCAGCCATAGTCGGGTGAGCCGTCGCACAGACAGACGCAGCCACAGAGCTCGAGACCAACGAAGCGGTGGTTGTTGGTCTCGTTGTCGTCGTCGTCGTCGTCGACGTCGTCGGCGCCGTCGTCGTCGTCGTCGGCGTCGTCGTCGTCGTCGGCGTCGGCGTCGTCGTCGGCGTCGTCGTCGGCGTCGTCGGCGTCGTCGTCGTCGGCGTCGTCCTCGTCGTCGCCGTCGTCGTCGTCGTCGTTGTTGTTGTGGTTGTTGTTGTTGTTGTTGTTGTTGGTGTTGGTGTTGGTGTTGGTGTTGTTGTTGTGGTTGTTGTTGTTGTTGTGGTTGTTGTTGTTGTTGTGGTTGTTGTTGTTGTTGTTGTTGTTGTTGTTGTTGTTGTTGTTGTTGTTTGTTGTTGTTGTTGTTGGTGTTGTTGTTGGTGTTGGTGTTGGTGTTGGTGTTGTTGTTGTTGTTGGTGTTGGTGTTGGTGTTGGTGTTGGTGTTGTTGTTGTTGTTGTTGTTGTTGTGGTTGTTGTTGTTGTTGTTGTTGTTGTTGTGGTTGTTGTTGTTGTTGTTGTTGTTGTTGTTGTCTTTTGCATCAAGTTGGAGCTAAGTTGGGCCATCTTGGAGCTATGTTGAGCCATCTTGGGGTCATGTTGGGCGATCTTGGGGCCATGTTGGGCCTATGTTGGGCCATCTTGGGCCCATGTTGGGCCATCTTGGGGTCATGTTGGGCGATCTTGGGGCCATGTTGGGCCTATGTTGGGCCATCTTGGGCCCATGTTGGGCCATCTTGGGGCCATCTTGGGCCTATGTTGGCCCTATGTTGGCGCAGGCTTGCCCCTATCTGAGCCTTATGTTGACCCATGTAGCCCACATCTTGGCCGATGTTGGCCCTATGTTGGCACCAAGGCCGTCAAGATGTCCAGTTTTCCGTTCCGGACCCCGTCCGAAGACCCAAAACCATGAAAAACCCATGGTTTTTTAACGTCGCCAAGATGAAACCGGGAGACGGCGAAGGCCACAAAACCCTGTAAAAAACGATGTTTTTTGAACACCACACGCAGAATACACTGTAAATTACAACGATAATCGTGGACCGGGCGTGAACCGGAATTGACACGAGGTGGTCGGCGGCAGGGGCGGCCAGCGTATATCCGGCCAGGGGCCCCCTGGCCGTGTCCTTGCCGAAGGCGTTTCTCTCCTCTCCGTAGGAGAGAGGGGCCGCCGCC